GGCTACACAAGGAAATAGTATGAAGGTAAATTCGAGCAGCGATGGATCGGAGAGATCTCAGCCTTCACACGACACAGGTATGAGCATAGAGAAACTCGATGGAAATTCGAATTATAGTACTTGGAAATTTTTGGTAGAATTATATCTAATTCACGATGATTTATGGGAGTACACACAAACAACGCCAGATAAAACTGATGTAGTAGGCTGTAGGAAAGACCAAAAAGCGAGAGCAAAAATATGCTTGATGGTAAAGCCCCACTGTCTGATTCACGTTCGAAACGCTAAGACAGCTAAAGAAGCGTGGGACGCTTTGAGATCGGCTTTTGAAGATAAGGGTCTTAACAACCGTTGCAGACTTTTGACCAAGTTAGTTAGCCTAAAACTTGAACAATTTACATCAGTTAGGAGTTATGTAACAGAAATAATGTTAGTAGCGCAGCAATTACGGGACATCGGTAAAGAAGTTGACGATGAGATGCTAGCTGCTCTCATGTTACAAGGTTTGACCGAAACTTTTCAACCAATGAGGCTTGCGATTGAAAACTCAGGAGTAGAGTTGACCACAGATTACATAAAAACCAAATTACTTCAAATGGAAGATTCGTATAACACTAGTAGTTCAAGCAGTAATGATATAGCATTGCGTGTTGATACACATAACAAGACTAGGAGATTTCCATACAAGAAGTCACAGAAGATAAAATGCTTTATTTGTAATGGACCACATAAAGCGAGAGATTGTCCAGAGAACTCAAAAAATAAGAAGGCTTCGTTAGCATTGGGACTTGCAACTTCAGGAAAACCAGACGAGTGGATTTTAGATTCTGGGGCATCAAGCCATATGACTAACAGCAAAGAGTATTTAATGGACGTTAGAATGTATGACAAAAAAGTGGAAATCGGATGTGCGAATGGTAGTAAAGTATATGGTATTGGAGAAGGTTCTGTGGTATGTAAGGAGAATGTTGCAGGCGTAAGTGAAGTGATGTATGTACCACACTTAGCAACTAACTTGTTGAGCGTGAGTGCTATTGTAAAGAAGAATGTAGTTGTTGTATTTTCAGCGAAAGGCTATGAACTGTTGAAAGCGGATGGATGTAAGGTTACTGGTGATGTCTTATATACAGGTGTGGAGGATAATGGTGTTTATAAACTTAAGCTCTGTTCACAGGAGAAAGCACTAGCCTCGACTGTCAGTACCATAGACATAGAGTTGTGGCATAGACGTATGGGACATCTTGGTGTACGGAACCTTAAGCTGCTGAGAGACAAATTGGCTACAGGGGTAAGTTTTACTAATAATCCAGTTAACTTACAGTGTAGAGCTTGTTTGATGGGAAAGCAGACCAAACAACCGTTTAAAAAGGGTTTAGCAAACAGAGCTGATGATATTTTAGGTTTGGTTCATACTGATGTATGTGGACCAATGAGTAAAGACTCAATGTCGGGCTGTAAATATTTTCTAACGTTTATTGATGATTTTACAAGAAAAACTTTTGTATATTTTATCAAAAACAAAAGTGAAGTCTTTCAAAAATTTTTAGATTTCAAGACATTTGCTGAGAACCAGTCTGGAAAGAAATTAAAAATTCTTCGATCGGATAATGGCAAGGAGTATGTCAATGAGCAGATGAAGAAATTTTTGAAGCAGTGTGGTATACAACAGCAATTAACGGTTGAGTATACACCCGAGCAGAATGGAGTTGCAGAACGTGCAAACCGCACAATAACAGAAAAAGCTAGAAGTATGCTTCAGGAAGCAGAGCTAGATGAAAAGTTCTGGGCAGAGGCGGTGAACTACGCTGTGTATTTAAAGAATAGATCACCGACCATTGCAGTTAAAGGTAAAACGCCAGAGGAAGCGTGGACTGGAAGGAAGCAAGACTTAAGCATGCTACGAATTTTCGGATGCAAAGCGTTTATTCACGTACCAAAAGTAAAACGGACGAAATGGGACGCTAAATCTAAAGAAATGATTCATGTAGGCATCTGTGAAGAATCGAAAGGCTACCGCTTAATAGACCCAATAACTAATCATTTAAGCAAGGCCAGAGATGTTGTGTTTTTCGAGAACGAGAATATAAACTGTAAGCAAACAGTTGAAAGAGTTGAGAAGTCAGCACCGCTTAGTTTTAAGGATAACGTCACAGAATATGAAGATCACATAGAAGTTCAAGATTTTCAAAGAGATCAAATTGAATCGGAAAATGAACCTGTAAATATTGTAAGTAGTAATGATGATGATATTCTGCATGAGAATTTAGAAACAGAAACAAATGAAGAGAGTTCTGTTACAAGAAGATATCCTTTAAGAGATAGAAAGAAGAAAGCGATACCTGACTGCATTACATATCACACAATAGCTGATTGTGATGATCCGCAGAGTGTGGATGAGGCATTGTCTAGAAGAGACAAACACTTATGGAAAGCTGCGATCGACGAGGAGCTTAATGCACTCAAGAAAAATAAAACATGGAAATTGACGTTACCTCCAGAATCTTGCAACGTCGTTGATTCTAAATGGATATTTAAAATCAAAGAAGAGGCAGGGGGAAATAAGAGATACAAAGCACGCCTAGTTGCAAGAGGTTTCAGCCAGAGGCATGGAATAGATTATTTTGAGACATTTTCTCCAGTTATTAGACATAGCTCTTTGAGGACATTGATTGCATTGGCAGCTCATATGAATCTTAATATAGACCACATGGACGTGAAAACCGCATTCTTGAATGGTAACTTGGACGAGGTGGTTTATATGAAGCAACCAGAGGGTTTCGTTGAAAAGGGAAAGGAGAATTATGTGTGCCAGTTGCAAAGATCATTGTACGGACTTAAACAAGCTCCCAGAGCATGGAATAAAAAACTTCATTTGGAATTGCTGAAACTTAAATTCAAGAGGTCTGAGTATGAACCATGCGTTTATATTAGATCTACAGGAGATAAAGTAATTATTCTTGCCATATATGTAGATGACATTTTATTGTTCTGGAATAATGTTGAGGAATTAAGGAAGGTTAAAACCGATCTCACAAACAAATTTGAGATGAAGGACCTTGGCACAGCGAAGTTGATGTTGGGAATACGAATAGCACAAGATAGTGAAGGGATCAAACTGGATCAGAAGGGATACATAGAGAAGGTTATTCGTACATTTGGAATGGAGAACTGTAAACCAGTTGCTACTCCAGCAGTACCAGGACAAAGGCTAGAGAGGCCACAGCTTGATCAAGAACTTGATGAAAAAGTACCGTATCGCGCATTGATTGGTTCACTGATGTACCTTGCTGTTTGTACGCGCCCTGACATAGCACACACAGTAAGTCAGCTCAGTCAGTTTAACAACAGCTACGGAGACGAGCATTGGATAGCTGCAAAGAGAGTGCTCCGCTATTTGATGGGAACCAAGGATCTAGCATTATTCTATAGAAGGGGAAACCAAAATGAGTTTGTATTAGGTTATGCTGATGCAGATCACGCCGGAGACTTTGATAGAAGATCAAATTCAGGTTGGGTATTTTTATCTCAAGGAGGAGCTATTTCTTGGGAGAGCAAGAAACAACGTACAGTGGCAATATCGTCTGCAGAAGCTGAGTATGTAGCGTTATCAGAGGCTGCAAAAGAGGCAATTTTCATTCGCAGGTTTATTGCAGAATTAAGAGATGGACCCAATCCCGCAATCTCAATTTTCACTGATAGTCAGTCGGCTATGGCAATTGCTAAGAATCCTGTACATCACCAGCGTACGAAGCATGTGGATGTAAGATATCACTTTGTACGTGAGGCGATTGAGAATGGTGACATTCATTTGAGGTACAAGGAAACTAATAGAATGACAGCTGATGTTTTGACAAAGTGTTTGTTGAGAGGTAAATTTGAATGGTGTGTGAAAAGCATGGGTTTGAGTTGTGTGTGAATAAGATGGCTGTTTATATGGTAGGTACACTAACAGGCATGAGATTAAGGAGGAGTGTTAGAGCGACAAATTGCTAGGAGTTTATATTTGCGTGTAATCTCATTGCTGTTATTCGTATGGTTTGTGGTTGTCAGAATTATTTGAATATACTGACTGACATGCACTTCAAGTTTTGGTTGTTACTTGCTTAGATACGTTGTTTGTACTCATGTGTTCTATTTTGTTTGTAAATATATATTAAGTCAATATTAGCTGGCATTCTTTATTTATTATATATGATCGAGGTTATCTAGTCCTCGATCAGTACCGATGAAGTAAAAAATAAAAATAAATGTTGTAAGGGATTTACTTACTATCACGTGACTAAAGTTTTCCAACTAATTCTTTGACAAAATTGTGCAGTACTTATTAGTTTTCAACCCACCTTGTTGTTTTTGCTTGCCAGTTATTTCACATTTTTTTTGTAATATTTTATTTACCAAGTGACCGTGGGGCAGATTTGAACAAAGCAAACGGGGCAGATTTAAACGAGACGTTCAAATACAAACTTCATATGTTTTCTTACAAGTTTGATATTAAGTTTATTTTATGTTTAATTTTACGTCTGAGGCAGTATTATATAATAATAATAACAATAAACTAAAATTCTTGTGCAATATGATTACTTTTGTTAACAAGGAGGAAGTCCAACACAGTGAAAATACTATTTTTATTTTTGTTACTGTAATGCAAGATGTAACTTTAGAAGTTTCGTATGAGTTTATTTTATATTTTATTACAGTAAATATCATTATAATAAAGACAAATTATTACTCTATCCTCTCTTTTTTCTGGTTTTATCCCATTGTTCAAAACTGCCCCATGTCGATTCAAATGTGCCCCCTTGGGCCCCCATTTACAATTAAAATATCAGTTATAGCAGGAGAATGACAAGAAACAGTAATAATTTAAAATTCCTTTCTTCTTACACAAGTTTATAGTGCTAGTTTTTCACTTTGAATATCTTTATTTATTGAAATTCTTTGACAACCAAGTTGTAATAAATAAAAAAGTTGTTTTAAATAAAAACAAATAATTAAAAATAGTTCATAATAATTTATTGATAATACTCTCAGCAAAAATTTATAAAATAAAATCTTAAACTAAACTAAACTTAACATTTATCATTAATCAATCATCTCCATCTAATTCTTCAACTTCTGCTTCCTTGAATGGATCCAAGGTTGGTGCCTCACCAGATTTCCTAATAACTCCAAAATCTTCTGCTGCATTCAGACATTTCTGAGCGAGTTCTTTGGTTTTTAATTGTTCAGGATCTTCAAGTTTTACTAGGGCCATCAAAATTTCCATCACATCAGTTTCAATTATTTTTGCTGTAATATCTTTATCATCTTTAATTATGTTATATAACATGTATGCACCCCTATACTGAATTTCCTTATCTGGATTTGCCAATAAGCACCTTAAAGTCTCTACCCATGGGCCTACATCTAACAACTTTCGGCAACAGACTTTACTAACTGAAGTCAATATGCATAATGCACCAGCCGCTGCTTTTACTGTGTCTACATCTTCCTCCTGACAAGACAGATACAAAAACTTAGTTTTATCATTGTTCCCTTCATATGTTTTAATTACTTCTTCAGATTGCAACATGTTGCAAACACATTGTGTAGCTGCTCGCTGCAACATCATATGATCTTCAAACAAATAATATTCAATTTTTGCCAAACCGCCTTCTTTCAAAATTCTGTTCCTTGTAGTTTCATTCATACCTGCTAGATTACACAGTGCCATAAGAGCCTCAAAGTTTTCCAATGCAGAACATTCTGGGTGTAACAAAGCCAAAAGGGGTCTGACTACTTCTAAATTCCTTTGGCCAGGAAATGCCACTTCAGGATTGATGGTGATAGCAATTCTAGCTAAGGCTTGAGCAGCTTGCTGTTTGCCATTTTTTGTGCCTTCTAGTGACATTGGTAAAAGCACCTTAGCTCCACCTTGTTGTACTACAATACCTCTCAATTCAGGCAAATTACAAATTGCATTAAAAACTCTTGCAATTAATTCCCTGGAGTTATGACTTTCTGTTTTAGATAAAGCTACTAGACCAGATGTAACTCCAGCTTTAGCTAATACAGTAATTCTTTTATTGATGAAATCTGGATCATCCAACTCATGTTGCTCAGGTACATGATGTTTAGCAAACTTGGCCAGTTCCAACATTTCTGGCAGCACCTCCTGTTTTTCATAAGCATTACACAAATTAACTAATGTTGTAACAACTCCATAAAGACATGATTGGTCACCTGTTCTTGCTAATTCAATAAGCGATTGAATAGCGGCTTGGTCTTCAACCAGTTTTTCTTTTACATCAGCATCTAAAGTCAGGTAAGAAAGCCCTTCAGCAGCCCATTTTCTTATATCATTTTCTTTCGATGGATTTACCAAAAACTTCCTACATGCATCAGCTAACTTTTTGGTTGATCCATCAGCAAAAGGTCTAACGGACGCATCGTCTCCACCAAAACTTCCTATCTTGCAGAGACCTACTAATGCTCTTACTCTGACGGCATCATTCTTGCAGTTGTACAATTTTTTAAGTATATCAACACCTTTATTGATAATAGACCTTGCCTTGTCTTTTTTAGAAGCAGCAGCAACTAAACACTCACAAGCTACTTTTTGTTGTAGGGAATCATCTGTTTGAGCCATAACCAAGATCATTTCTAGAATACCATCTTTAGAGATAACATAATTACCTACATCCAATGGACCTCGCAGCAAAGATGTGATTGCTACAGTCACTCTCACTTTTGATTCAAGGTCAGGTGACATTAGTTTATCTTTAACATATTCATCTACTTGGCTGTTGAACTTTTCTCTTGCTTGGTCATAATACATATTCTCATAAATCCTTGCAAGGCAGGCAGCTGCAATAGTCCTTGATGATGGAGTAATATTCATAGCAGACTCATATTTAAATTCCTCTAACTCACTGCATACAGCTAATAAACGCTGTAGTCCTTTGATTTCAACAAACCTTTCAGCCCAATTAATTGCACTGTAGTGACAGTTCCTCATGACCAATTCCATGATGGCATCCCTAGCCAGTCCAGTGATGACTGCATTAGTTATGGAGTAAGTTAGACATGTCAGAAGTACATCTATTTCACTTTTATTTTCTTCACACAACATAGGATCAGGTTTGGAATCTTTCTTGTTATCCATTCCTGAAAATGTATTTAAAATAACTTGCAAGCAATACTGAGCCGTATTCACTCTTTCCTCGTTGTCACTATCAATGATTTCCAGAAACCACGGAATTCCTACTATTTTAATTATATTCCTTGTCCTCTCAATGCTCCTCTTGCATAACTGGCTGATAACTCGAATGGCATTTACAAAAATCTCTGAATTCTTTTCAATTTTCAGTAACTGTTGGATTTTATGAACAACACCATTTTTCAGCATAATATCAGCACCCGCAGTTTCTTTGGAAAGCACCAATAGGTTTCCCATGGCTTTTTCACGTTTCTCAGTATCATCACTTATGTCAAAGGCCAATTTGAACATTTGTTCTACTTTATTGCTTGTCTGAGCATTTTGTCGAACTCGTTCTTGGACAGTTGCATGTAATCTGGCCAGCACTGGTTGCACAGCTTTATTTGAAGGATCAACAGTAAAAATTGTCTTAGCATCTCTGTATGCTTCTTCGAATCTTCCCAAGCTTTCTAATGCTTGTGATCGACGGAATAATGCTTTAGGGTCTTCCGGAATAATTTTTAAAGCTTCATCACAATCTTTTATAACCTTTTCATATTCATTTGTCTTCAGAAATGCAGCAGCTCGGTTCTTTAAGTACGTAACTAGGTCACGACTATCTTTCTCAGCGAGTTTGATAGCTTCGCTGTAAAGAGATATGGCTTCTTCATACTTTTCAGACTTGAAAGCTTCATTACCTCTGTTTTTATAACTTTCTGCTTCTTGTTGAACACCCATGTTACTGTTTCACTTAACCTCGTCTTCATAAAATAAATTTTGTAACGCTATCGGTTGCAATTATATACCACACGTAATGATGGTTCTAGTAGGATCTCGAGAGAATTCATCCCATAATAATTGTGCTAAAATAGAACTTTATTTTTGGCTGCCCCGATTGCGGTTCGGTTGTCAAAACCACAGACTACCAGTGTTGCCAGGTCCGATTTTGAAAAATCGGGAGGTGTTATAGAAAAAAAAACAGTAGATGATGAAAAGAACAGAGATGTATGGAAAGGAGCTACAAGAAAAACAGTAGATGCAGAGGCGTACTTTTTTCGATTTGCACCCCCTGTTTTGTTTCTGTGGCTTCTACCGCACCTTAAAGCTTTTTTTTTTAGACAAAAACATTTATTTTAATATTAATAAGTTGTTTACCTACATTATTAATGGCCGAAATTGCAACTCAACATGCAATTTAAAAAAGAAAATCGTATTCTAAGAAAAGCAGGAGATTCATGTAGAAAAACAGTAGAACAGGAGAAAATTCAGAAAAACAGGAGATCTCCTGTAAAATCTGGAGACCTGGCAACACTGCAGACTACAGATGAGGAAGAGCCATTTCGCTTACCCCTCTTACCCGAAATCCCCCCAAAATACAGGTTTTTAAAGAAAAAAATCTACAAAATGCAAATTTTTTATATAAAAAAAAAACAAGGTAGTGTGCTTATGACCACATGACTGAAGTGAAACTTCTTTAGCTCCAATAATCTGAAAATCATAAACTTAACCTGAAGATTTGTTGATAGAAAAAAAACCACCAATCCGCGCTGGGTCCATTATCACCCTCCAATCAGCACTGGGCCCATTAACACCCACTAATCCGCGCTGGGTCCGTTATCATCTACCAATCCGCACTGGGTCCATTGTCACCCACCAATCCGCGTTGGGTCCGTTATCACCCTCTAATGAGCACTGGGTCCACTATCGCCCACCAATCCGCACTGGGTCCGTTATCACCCACCAATCCGCACTGGGTCCGTTATTATCCACAAATCCGCACTGGGTCTGTTATCACCCACCAATCCGCGCTGGGTCCGTATCACCCTCCAATCAGCACTGGGTCCTTTATCACCCACCAAATCGCGCTGGGTCTTTTTCTATTACCCACCAATCCGCACTGGGTCTGTTATCACCCACCAATCCGCACTGGGTCTGTTATCACCCATCAATCCACGCAGGGTCCGTTATCACCCACTAATCCGCACTGGGCCCTTTATCACCCACCAATCCGCACTAGATCCGCTATCACCCACCAATCCGCACTGGGTCTGTTATCACCCATCAATCCACGCAGGGTCCGTTATCACCCACTAATCCGCACTGGGTCTGTTATCACCCACCAAGCACTAGATTCATGTATTTTGTGACGGGTATTGTTCATTGTTTACCGATGAGTCATCGATGACCCTAATCGTAACGCGAAATTGTAACAACCACCCAAACCAAATTTCTTCCACCCATGAATCCCCCCAAAACTATTTTCGCCCAATTATCCCTCCCACCCTTTTAAACCCCCCGAATTTGGGGGGAATCCCCCCAATCTGGCATCAGATATGAGGCGGACTAGGGGAGGATTTCCATTGCCAGAATAGATTAAAAAAAAAGGACTAGGGGAGGAGATAATAATTGTCACATCGCAAATCACTGCCTATTGGGCCTGATTCTGCTATGTGTCTATATTTAAAAGTAGGTAATTTTGTCAATATGTCATGCTCTACAGAGAGAGAAAGAGAGACTAAAGTCAGTTATACAAATAAATGTTTAGGGAATCATGTCAGAATTGAGCTATATCCCCTCTCTATTGGTAGGTAAAGCACACTGAGTGCCTACAGCTATAACAAGTATTTTTTTTATATCCGGGCTCTGAAAAACCCTTTGGGAGTAGGGCAGACCAAGCCCACGGCGTTTCGGCGTTAACAAAGTCGGCTATGTATTCAAGTTATTTCAACAACCTAATAATAGGAAAGAAAGTAGGTGGTACATGAAAAGAAAATTAGTATGTATTTACAATTATTTTAATAGTTTTTCTAAGGATTTCTTGTTCTTAAAAATATCGCCCTTTTCCTCTTCAGGGCACAACACTGGCTCTACAGAGCAACATCACCATGCTCGGTATGGAAGTTCGTTTAGAACTGAATCCAAAGGACATCGAAACATGTACATATGTAAGTATATTTATATAGAAATAAATATCAAACATCCATGACTGGGACCGCGGTCCCTCCTAGTGCGCACCGGGTGACCGGTGCAGGAGTATTGTCTAGTTTTTACGGTCGCCCTTGTGGCGGTCGCCTTCTTGGCGAGGTAGGGCCCCGCTTGCTTCTCGGAACACTTGTGTTCCCTGAAGCGGCGGAGAGGAGTCCCCGATAGCTTCGTCCGCAACCCTCGGTTGGCGAAGTATGCGTAATGCATTTTCTAGACATAAAAAAAAAGCAGGGTGTCCGATAAAAGGCAGCAAACTCAGTTAGAAAGATTTTTTGCACAGCCTGGGTTTTCTTAGCATTGAACTAACCAAGTTCCTGGTAGTCCATTCAGAAATATGGTCCAAAGTCTGATTAAGTTCAGCGACAAAATTTTCCCGTTTTTCCTTGGTTTGTATCTGTCCAGCCGCTCTGTGTCCAAAGTATCTCGCATGCACTGTACTGTCGTCTGCATAGCAAAGAATATTCCCAAGAGGAATCAACTCATTAATATACAGCAGAAACAGTGTGGGCGATAGGAGGGATCCCTGAGGAGCACCGGCATTCACAGACATGAACTGCGAAGCACATCCGTCCGTACGCGAATTTTACGCTCATGCAGGAAGTCGTCCACCCAAGCATAGAATTGAGCAGGCAGCCCATATGCAGGAAGCTTGGAGAGAAGACTTTTGTGCCAGATCCTGTCAAAAGCCTTGACGATATCTAGGCTGATAGCCAGAGACACTCCCCGCTTGTCTTTAGCTTCACCCCAGATGTGTATCACGTACGCTAGAAGGTCGCCCATAGATCGATTCGGCCTAAGTCCATATTGACGATCGTGAATCAGAGAGTAATTTTCTAGGTAGCGGGTCAGTACCATAGAGATATAAGAATAGGGTGGAAAAGGCGGCTCTAAAAGTGTCCGTCTAGTAGAAAGAGAAAGAAGATGAGAAACGGCTAGCTATCTCTCTCTCTTGTGACGCATGGCATCCAGTGGCATCACATCGAAATAGTAAGATGCTTACGGTTGCCAATGTGCATGCGCGATTAGAGAGAGAAAGCTAGCAGTCTCTCATCTGCCTTCTCTTTCTATTAGAGAGACACTTCCACTTGTAGTAGTGTATGGTAGCTTTCCAATTACAGCATTATAGCGCATTATGCGGCATAATGCTTAACGTTGAGTGTTCCAACTACAGCAACGCTTCGCACAATTGAGCACTCTCAAAAGTAATGCTTTCGTGTGATGCGTGCAATCGTGCCAACTCAGAGACAGAAAATTAACAAGTGTTTTCTCTTTAAGTTGGCATTGATCGAAATGTTTTATTTATATGTTATCGTTAGTAATATTATTTATTGTTGAAAAATTATTAAAACTTTCGTTTCATCATAGTTTTTTTTTAAATAATCAAAATTAATTCAAACTGTGTTAAAAATTAAATATAAATATGGATGAAGGTACAAACATTGACTTTTTTTTTCAACACTGAACTTAGCGCACTCTGCTGGTGCATTTGAAAACTAATTCACGTTCCAATTAAGCATCAGCATAATTCGGCATTGTGCGCCACTGAGTCGCATTATGCTCTGTAATTGGAAAACCACCTATATCTCCTCTACTCTATTCTTATACCTCTATGGTCAGTACACGGCAATTTTGCAGTTTTTATTCCAAAACCTGGCAATCCAAATACCAAAACATGGTTTAATGCGATTCAACTAAGAATAGGGTCGACGCGACGGGGCGCCAATACGTCATAGCTGTCAATTCAAACGAAAAAGTTAGAGTGAGTAAAAAAGTTTTTATTTAATAAAAGTTATTTACTAAGATTAAGTGAGAAAAAACATCCGATTTTTTAATAAAATTTATTTACTAAAATTTATAAAAGAAAATACCCGTTTTTTAATAATATTTATTTATTAAGACTGTGCGAAAAAAACATTAATCAGAATTAAGCTCTTCAATTCCGCTCATCTCTGCATTACCGCCGGAGTAGTTATGAATAATCATGCATAATAATGCATGATTATTCATAACTACTCCGGCGGTAATGCAGAGGCATGCCTAGTAATATACTAGGTCACATACGAACATGTATCCTATAAGTAAACCAAAGTTTTAAATCGAGTTTCTGAACGCAACTTAAAGTGACATTTGGTTGACGATTTAGGTTATCAAACATTCATAGCCAAAGCTCAATAAATGAAAATAAAATATCAACCAATATTAATTAACAATATTTGTTATTGTTTGTTTACAAATGTTTGGTTTTTATTCCATAATTAGCTGAGTGCTAAAAAAGGGTTCCAAGATTTTTTTGCAAGCCGTAATTTTTAAGCTACATTTGACAGATGGAGGTCATTGGCTTTCCCATTCCTATTTGAATCGCATTAGAACTTAAAATTTCGAAATGGCAACCCTCTTAAAAAACTCTCAAATCTATGGTAGTGATGTGCCGAGCCGGTTATTTTTGGTATACGGGTATTTTAGTACTCGTTAAAAAAAGATTCGAATTAGGACTCGGGTTGGAAGACTCGGATGGGTATTCGAGTACTAGCACGAGTATTGAATACTTTACTGGTCTCGAGTATTTTTTGAATCGGACCTTTGTAATTGGCTTCGTCATCATCATCAAAAATCATATTATATGAATGATAGGAAAATATGTAAATAATAGTAGATTAAATGTATAATCAGTCATTTATTAATATTATTATACTCATCTCTGGTAATTAATAATGATGGCACGACATAATTATATAGAAACCAATTTTTTTTTTAACTTATCATTACTACGTAATAATACCTGTATGTAGGTTAGCAGGTATACCGAAGAAGATCTATAAAAGCACGATTCGCTCGTTTTAATATCTTAACTAAAGCTGTTCAAACTTTAATATTAAGTAATGTGAAACTATATAAAAATAATCTTCAATGAAAAGGAAGTAATGTAATCTTTCTTAAGAATAAATAACAATTATGTCCAAAACATGGTACGTAAAAATCTTCAATAAAATTCTTAGTTCCTAATTAACTAATCAACGAAAATGTACGGACGGAGTAACAATATTCGGTTGCATATGTACCTATTTAGTTACATAAAAACCCTTAGGAAACTAGCTATAAACTTAACAAAAAAGGAATCACAAATTGTGCTACTTTGGTAGACTGAAGTTACTATAGTGAGTATTCTTCATTATAGTCCAAGCGAAGACTGTATAATGGTGGATATATGGTATAAGCACAATAATTTTGTTTTCGGCCTTATGGATATTAGATAAGTCATAATAAAATGGTCTGCCGGTCTGTAACTTGACCAATCAATTCACAGACCGCCAGACCATTTTTTTTACAATTTATCTAATAAATACCCGAAAGACCGAAAAGTATAATTTTATGCTTATACCCTATACAGATCTTTTTTACGGTCCTCGATTCGACTATTAAAACTTAGGCAAAAGTCATCTTAAAAAATAGAAACTCACTTTCACCTCAAAGTATACGTTTGTAACGTATACTACCACTAATACCTATTTCTTATTTTTATGATGGCTATTCAAAAATAATATTTGGTCAACTTTTTCCGATTCTAATCTATTCCTACGCTGATTACACAAAAGTCCTGCGATGGAAAAGACACGTTCGGATGGCACAGGCGTTGCGGGAATGCATAAATATTTCTGGGACATTTCGTGCAAACCTTTATAAATTATCTTTCGAGTCTCCCAAAACTTACATGGGTCCATATTTCGTTCCAATTAAGGGAGTTGAACGTATTGATTAACTTTTACGATAGCAGAAGATTTGGGTGTTGCCATACTTACTTGCTGTTTTACTTTTTTATCTAAGAATCCCCATAAATTATCAGGCTCATTATTTACAGGTGTTTGATGAGGTGCTTCATTACTCGAACACGAAGGTTGCTCAAGGGTAGAAGAGGGTATCGAAGGTGATTCATGACAGATTAATTCTTCAACTACCCACCTGTGAGCATTATCAGCATTTGGTTGTATTCCGAAATCATCCTTTTTAATATAAAGTTTGTATAAGTTTGTCCTTTAAATGTATTGCCGTGTCAGTAGATAGCACAAATTTTTTAATGAGGCTTGTACTCCTCGAATAAGGGGAATTATGCTTGATAGTGTTGGATAATCTTGGCCTGAAAATATGGTCGTTAATTGCTCAATAGGCTTTAAAACAGTTACACATTCATGTAATACAGTCCACTCTTCATTATTCAAGTTATCTGGTGATGAATTTAATGAGGATAAAGTAGCTGTCAGAGGGACCTTAACTTTTTCAAGTCTATCAAGCATTATATAAGTGGAGTTCCACCTAGTTTTGACATCTTGAAGCAGTTTTAATTTGTCTTGATTCATCTGCTCTTGCATTGATAAAAGCTTGTAAGAAGCAACATTACTTCTTTTAAAATAAGCAACAACATCTCTGCATTTTTCTGTCAAAAGCAATAATGGCTCATTATCTTTTAAACAATCACCAATAGCCAAATTAAGAGTATGAGCCACGCAGGGATCGTGACGTTTCTGCAAGATTTCCACTACGGCCTTCTTCATGTTGCTTGCATTATGAGTGGTAATACATACAACTTTGTTAAAAAAAATCCATTCAGCCTCAAGTATATGGCGTAATAAAGCCGCTATGTTTTCTGATGAATGTGACTTGTCCATCTCTTTTGTAGCAATTACTCGCGATTCTGGTCTGCCTTGATAAATGTACGGTACTGTTAAAGTTAAATAACACTTACTGCTGTCCGATATCCACATGTCAGTTGTAAATGCTATATAATCTACTTTCTGTACCTTATCAATTAGTGCTCTTTTTGACAAATCATATTGATTTGGCAGTAGTTTTTCTGACAAAATTTTCCTTGAAGGGAGACAATAGTTCGGATTGAGTTCCTGAGTATATTTTTGAAAACCTTTACTTTCCACAATAGAAAAGGGGTTGCAAATCCACACAAATCATATTAATAAGTTCCCGGTCTATATTCTTCGAGTTGACCTGAATAGCATTTTTTGACAAAAAAGTCATCTGTAATTGTCTTTTCCGACTTTTCGCTGGTACCTGGTCAATGTCATTTGATTGACTTGTAGATGACGATGCTACTGAGTCTAACGACTCCAAGTCCACATCAGAACTCTCATCCAAGCTTACATTTTCATTTTGCTTACTTATTTTTTCTAATAACGCTGTATAAATCAAAGGATGAATTTTTCAAATGTTTTAAAAAATTTGTGGTGTTTCCAAAATTAACAAATGTTTTTTACACTCTTTGCACTCCACTTTTTTATTTGTTAAAATATTATAAAAATTCCATACTTCGGATTTTTTCTTCGGAGCCATCCTATCACAAAGTCACTAGTTAAAAAACAGTAAAACTTTACACAAATTCTACAGTTAAACTGATAACTGAGAGTGCCACTAATTAAAGTAGGTAATTATTTTTAAGAATAATATATGTAATTAAACATTTGTTAACATCTCCTAAAACTAGCCGCCGAGTAGGAAATATAAACACGTTCAAACCTGCACCGACTCATCAACACTTCACTTTACTAACTTCACTGTACGAGTACGACTGAGTATTCGAATACCGTAAGTACTCGAAACCTGTACCCGAGTACTGTGGATTCGAATACAATATTTCGAGTACTCGAGTACGTGAGTACCTGCTAGGTATTCGAGTCAGTATTCAAGTCAGCCTGACTCGGCTCATCTGTAATCTGTGGTTTGATCCCTCGTGTATAAACCTTCTTGCGATTTATTTTTTTCTTGGATAAACTTTAAGTTACGATGGCTGCAATTAGTCTCCTAAACCCTAAAGCTGAATTTGCACGTGCAGCTCAAGCATTGGCGGTAAATATCTCTGCAGCTAAAGGCATACAAGATGTGATGAGAACTAACCTCGGTCCCAAAGGGACAATGAAAATGTAAGTTCAATACGTTATTATTCACATTTAAAACTTGCTTTTGTGTTTTTGATAAAATTTCCGCACTCTTTTACCCAGTAGTAATATATTTCACATACTTTATTCCTTAATTCAACTCGTAATAACTGTTATTCAAATCATGTGATGTTAATGTCAAAATGGGTTCTGCTTAGGTTGGTATCGGGAGCCGGTGATATAAAGATAACCAAAGATGGGAATGTGCTGCTACATGAGATGCAGATACAGCACCCGACGGCGTCGCTGATTGCCCGCGCGTCTACTGCTCAAGATGACGCTACCGGAGATGGCACCACTTCCACCGTGCTGCTGATCGGCGAGCTACTGAAGCAAGCTGACATTTACATCAGCGAAGGTTAATAGATACCTATGTCAATTCAGTTTAATTTACATGCAATTTTCTCCCTTACTTTTCTTAGGCCCATATTATAGGAAGAATATCAGTGATTGATGTAGTCTTGAGCATAGTTATAATAAAAATAATAATAACTATTTGGAACAAATGCAATGTACATAAAATTATGAATTGTTAAATCTGCTTTAGTTTTACAAAAACTGTGTTGCAGAATTAACGCCCATTCCCGTATTATATGAAACAGTGTTCCTATCAATGTATAAAATTAAAACAAACTGTATTATTACTAAAGAGGAATATTAAAATGAGACAAAAATATCCACAATTTACAATCCATCGAAAGTAATTTCAAAACAAAAGTATTTCCGAGTGCATTTTATCAATATTATAACAAACCAATACTAAATTTTACCAAAAAAATGAAAATAAGGACTAAAATATAACATTTGAATTTTTATGCTCGCATTATAAGGTAGGTAAACACAGGTAATACAAATCTATTAAAATTACAATATTAAACCTACCTGAACACTACAAACCAATAAATCTACAAGTTAGAAAGGGATGCCACTATATATAGCCTTTCTAACTGTACTCTGTATCACACATATCAAAATGGAAACAATATTAATTCATATTTTTATTCCAGCATTTAACTGCTAGAAAACTGTGTTTATTGGTATTAGTGACCAAAGGGGTGTGAATGAATGAATGATTCAGTGTGAAACTTTTGCTTTGTGCCCAACTCTTTAGTCTGATTCAGACCCCCAGAACTCCGTTCCCCCATCCACTACTACTCTCAAATTTCAAAGGTTCCAAGCAAACTATAAATGTGTGAATAAATATAAAAACTTTTTCTGTATCTGCTTGAATCCTGCCTGGTGCCTGAGACAACTTTGATTATTTGTTTTAAAAAATTTCTTTAGATGTTTCGAACATTGTTAATATTATTATATTTATTATGAGCATTTAACTGCTGGATTTTTAAATCTATTTTTACAGGAAAAATTCAATCTTATGATACATTGTTAATTTTTTAACCCTTATAGCAATAACGCTAGTGTTTAGTGTAGGTCCGCATTATAAACTAATAACACGGTCCATCTCATTTCATCACTATAAATAAATAAATATTTCCAACACTCACACCAATTAGCCTAGCCCCAAAGTAAGCACTGTAAGGCTTGTGTTATGGGATACTAGGGTAAAGGATAGAATACATATACAGTACATATATAAGTATATTTATATAGAAATACATATTAAACATCCATGACTGGAGTACAAATGCTCGTATTCATCACACAAACATCTGCCCCCACCGGGATTCGAACTCGGGACCTCTCGAGTTGGCGACACCATGAAACCCGGTGTACAAACCACTCGACCACGGAGGTCGTCAACTATCCTCAATATTATGACATTTTTTTGTACTTATGTGACCCAAGTTTTAATAAGTATATCTTTTCAATTATAGGATTGCATCCTAGAATCATAACTGAAGGTTATGACTTGGCCCGTGCTAAGGCTGTTGAAGTATTAGAGTCTATGAAGATACCAATTGAGGTTAAGAGAGAAAACCTTCTGGATGTTGCTAGGACTTCTTTAAAGACAAAAGTAAGTTAAGGCATGATTCTCTTAAGTTAAAATATAAAGCACAGCTATTGGTTTTTATAGAGTGTGATAAAGAAATACTACATTCAAATTATTACATTATTAATTTTACATTATACAAAAAATATATTATAAATACTTTTTTGTAAAAGTATATAAATTTAATCTTAAATTTAACTTATCATTGGGTAAAGTGAAAGAGAACTTAAATTTCAGTATAAATCCTCCAAAAGGTTGATAAAAGGGTATTTGACAAGTTTTATAAAATGATCTCACGTGACTAACTAATGTTTATGGAGACCGTAAAAAGTGGATATCCATCATTCTGTTGTGTATTTCAGTAAGAATAACCAAATCAAAAACTCCATTTTCAAATTGCCGCAAAAATGTTTCTCTGAAAAATATGGCGTCTTACTAGTGTGTTACGTCAGAGGACTGTTATTAAAACGTCAAATGATACAATTTAATGTCACTTTAACCAGAAGTTTACTTGCATGTGACATCATTTTAGGCTCCACCAATCCCAAGGGTTTTGGGCAAGGACCCATTAATCGGATTAAAAGGTTAACCGGTAAGACCAAAACCCTGTATATTGATTAATCCTTATGCAGTAAACTGTTTATTGTAATATGGATTAATCCTAGGAATATTGCTGATTAACCCGTATGAAAGAGACTGTAAATGTAGACTAGCGTAGAGTACTTTCCATCTACGAGCTCCGCCATTCCGTGGCGTTGTAATTCAGAATTTCACCTCGATGGGATAGCGCGTGCGCATAAATTAATATTTGCTTATGATTTTATTTATTTTTTAGGCTTTTAACTGCTAGATGTTTAAATCTAAAGAAAGGTTTACTAGAAAAAAAATATTTGCTTAATGAATGATACCATATTTTTATTAAATAATTGTGTAATTAGATTTAATAATAATTGTGATAAAATATCACAAGGAGGGTATAATGCGATATCACGTGTATTTATTTTTCGTTGAACCACTTTCTGAACCAAACAGCGGCGTCTGGCCTTGACTCGCCGTTGCCAGGCAACGATTTTGAAATAATATTAAAAAAACAATCTATTATGTATTAAAAATACACGTAATTTTGGGGTTGGGGGGGCGGAGGGGGGGGGGGGAGGTTAGTCTCAAACCTCACCACATATCACTAGGGGGAGGGGAGGGGGTTAAAAGTTGCTAAAAGCATCAGGTGATATGGACGACCCCTAATGAAATGATTTTGTCGACGCAAAGAAAAATCGATCGTGTAGGGTAAAAGCCGGATAGTTGTACCACTTTTCAATAAAGTAGTGATGACTTACTAGTAGTGATGAATCATGTATACAGGTCCTTTATCTTTCAAAGTAGCCTATTTTTGTAAAGTTAGTTAATTAATATTGGTTTTGAGTAAAACGAGTGAGTTTTATTTGACCTCTCAAAAAAAATAGTGCGGGGAGTCCCTCCGCGCGGTAGAAGTGAAACTTCGTAATTCGGCTAATCATTCGTAGTATTAGTATCCCATAACACAACCCGTACAGTGCTTTCTTTGGGGCTAGGCTAATTGTTGTGAATGTTAAAAATATTTATTTATTTATTATTATATGTATTCTATACGTTACCCGAGTATCCCACAACTAGGCTAGGCTAAATGTTGTATGTGTTAAAAAAAAATTATTATATAATATAGAGGACAATTTTACGATATTTAACGTTTTAAAAAGGATCTGTGGTATGGAATCTACGGAAAAATGTGAAAAAGCGATTAAAGGCACGAATAATGCAAGAAGTGAAACTAGCATTCACTTTGCTAAAATAATAGAAATAGAATTATCTTCAATGCCCAATAACAAAAGACTTGACTGCATGCAAGAGGTGCTTGGCGTAATGAAAAAATACACCAAGAATTAATAATTTTAATCATTTATTCCTGTTGTAGTTCAGTAACAATTATGTCTATTAAGTCGTTACATTATTAATTATATGATTGAATATTTTTTGTTAATTATCAATATTTACTTTCAAAAGCGATTATATTTCACAACATTTGAGTGTAGGTACTTCTCCAGAGACGTATTTTGATATAATTTGTTTTTAATTTAAATTAATTATCAATTACTAATGCTTCCTATTTTTTAATCTCTAGCATTTTGACGTGCTTAAATACATAACTCTTACACATTGCTGGATAGATTTAGTAAAAAATTAAGTAAGAATCAGTTAACTGTGATGATAGCACATGCAGGTCAGAATTTAATATAATATGTTAAACTATCAACAATTTCTTTAATTTCAACTACCTACATGTTACTTCAAAATAGAAACTCCGTGTTTCTATTTTGAAACATTTATAAAATTAATTAATGTTTCAAAATACGAACGTAGTTTTCAATTACATAAATAGATCGTGATTACTTCGTATGACCATAATATTTGCTAAAGTAGTTTGACTTAAGTTAGATCTGAGCGGTGATAAAATATATTTAACCGAGGAGAAAAGCCTTTCAACAGATACTTGCGTAGCAGGAGTAGCAAGAACACAAAGAGCTAATTCTGCCACTTCTGGTGACGATAATTTACTGTTCCAATATTTAATAATATTTTCTTTAATGGGCAATCTTGGGAGATTGCGAATTTCTCTCAACAAAACATTGGTTGAATTGGTTTCTTGTACTATGCCTCTTTGTTGTTCAGTACTTCTTAGTATTTCTTCAGCGTAAGATAATATGTTGGCTTCTTCGACCGCAGAGTTTTGATTTTGTATACCACTACCGCCAGCCATAGGTTCATCAATTGAATTGAATGATGAGACCATAATATTATCCGAGTTCGAGTCACTGTCTTTCAATTTAAGTTTATTAATTTGATTCAAAGTTTCTTTTAAAAGCTGTCGAGCTTTAGCAGCTTCTTGATCCGATAGGATAACATTAAGCCTTGTGTCTAAATAAAGGGCTTCCAACATAACGTTAGTATTTAGAAGATTTACTTCCCGTGTCTTCATACAGTCTAACAAACTCTGGCTTATCGGTGTTCTGCGCTTTTCTAAATTACCTTTGCATGTCAACCACTCTATGAAAAAATCACCCAGTGTCAATTGTTCTTTTTGCAGTTTTAATGTTGCTATAAAACAAGGTTTTAGACAATCAATTAGATCTGTAATTGTTTGCCAATTCGATTCATCTAATCTTGACATGATATTTGCATCATTAAGACATACAGTTTTTAATGACTGCATCCTTAATAACATGTTGTAAGTAGAAGACCATCGTGTAGGACAATCAATAATAGGCTTCTTCAAGTTGGCTCTTTTCAAAATATTTCTAATAGTCGGTGTTCTTAACAATTTGACTACTTGTCGCACACGAAATATTAAATTGTCAACATCTGGATTCGATTCAAAAAAATCTTTAATAGCTAACTGAAGCGTATGTGCAGCGCACAGCATTGTTCTCGGTAAAAAATTGGATCTGGAGTAGTTTTCATTTTCATTTAAAGCTGTCATTAGGCTGTCGATTGGAATCTCATGATTTATATCATTTGCATTATCTTCGTCTTCCTCGTCTGTTTCACTGTCTGTATTATATTGTCCAGATTCTTGGTCAATATCAATGGGCTCGTATGAACCACCTAACAGCTTTGCCATTTTTTTAAAATTCTTTCCATTGTCGGTAGTTATACAATAAATTTGTGATGCGTCAATTTGATAATCATTTAAAACATCTAAAAGAGTCTTCTTCAGAAATTCCCCTGTCTGGCGCTCAAATACTTCCTGTGCAGCTAAAGTACGTATTTTAACAATTTCATTTTGTATGTATTGTACATTAATGCCAAGAAATGATCTGTCTTGATAGGTCGCAGAATCTAATTTTACACATAATAATTTTCGTCTTAATTCCGTAGCAATCTTTAATTTAATTTCATAACTTTTGTCTGCAATCATCGATTTTATTGATTGGATATTTATAAATTTATTAGTCGGTACGACCATATTAATAATTTTTTGAAACGCTGCATCCTCTAATAATTGAAAGGGTCTACCATGAATAGTGACAAGTTTTACGCAATTTGTTTTAATTTCAGATATTAAGTCGTCGTTTCTTTTTTGCGAGACGTTTTGTTCACGTTGTGTATTATTAATTATTAAAATATCATCAAATTTATTTTTATGTTTGACAGACATGTGATTTTTTAAGTTGGTCGCATGTTGCCCCTGAAACAAAATATATATAAATTATTAAAAAATGACCCTCATAAGTGCATTAAATATTGAAGATAGAATGTTTAACTTTTTTTTTAAACATAAAAGCTATGAATGTAATATTAGTGATTTTCAAAGGATAAAATCAGTCTATCATTAGTGACACCTTGTATTAGATGCACTTATATTAATTATATATGAATCCAGCCTCAAATCATCTAAAGTTGCATCTTATTAGGTGTTAAGAACAGTTTGGTTTACACTGCGTATTGACATCGTGCGAGGGGCTTGATAAATATTAAAAAATAAAAATCTGTTTCTGCAATCACATCAATGATATAGCTCTAGAGCTTGCAGGTGTCTAGACATACTTAAATTTATTTTAATATAGCATCCATGGCTCATTTTCCCCTTGCGGGGTTCGAACCCGCAACCACAAGTTTTATAATCCGGAGCGCCAACCACTAGATTATATGGCTGTAAAAAACCGTAAAGTCGTAAAAATGTTATAAATGTGAGTACTATAAGCATTAATAACTATCAATAAATTAATCAAGTTCTTGGACTAAAAGAAGTCATACTGAGTTTGATTATAAAAATTAAATCAAAGCATACTGAATTATTTACTAAGTAATTATAATACAAAGTAAAATAACTAGGTAGGTAGGATAAAAGTCGGATACTCGCCGTCTTGACAGACAGACAGACGGAGAACAAAGAGATCCTATAAGGGTTCCGTTTTTTCTTTTTTAGGTACGGAACCCTAAAACATAGTAAGTGGTCTATCCCCACGAGAGGCAAGTATCCCTCGAAT